AGAGAGAGAGAGAGAGAGACAGAGAAAGAGAGAGAGAGAGAGAGAGAGAAAGAAAGAAAGTGAGAAACCAGGCCGCCAGATCTGGGACTCGAACTGCAGTCGGCCATGTTGGAGTCCAGCGCCCTTAACCACCATGCCACCTACTGGACCCAAGGATCTTCTCTTTCTTCTGTATCCCCTAGATCAAATGACTCACCAAATCTTGTCAATTCCACATTTCTAACATCTTTCTCAGGTTACTCCACTGTCTTGCATCAGTTTTTCTTGTCATCTCTTTATTGTATCCACTTCCAAACTCATCTCCGTGTATCTGGATGCATTCCTCCTAGGCAGTCAGCCAAGAGTACAATCTTTTGGGGATCAGCAGATGGCATAATGGTTACGTTGCTGGATTCGCACATAGTTAACTGTGGTTCAAGTCCCAGACCTGGCAGCTTAAAACTCAATGCCGGGGGCATGTGTGTGCTTTCCCAAGATCCCGAGAGGAGAATGGAGAAGGGATTGTATCATGGCTGTTCTCCCTGGGTGGTGATTTCTTGCTTTCTCTCTCTCTGGCAAGCATACATGCCCTATAGCAAAAATATCTCTTAGAAAAAAAGAAAAAAAGTATGAGCTTTTAAAAAAGAATGACAACAACAACAAAATTCTACTACTTTCCTGATTAAAATCTTTGTATTTGCTTAACGTACTAGGTAAAGTCCAACTCCCTTGGCTTGGAACACAAGACCCTCAATGGGTTTCTACCTCCTTTTTTCAGACCCATCTCTCATTACTAGTCAACATTCCTTCCCCTGCACCAGCCAAAACGAATGCCTAGAGTTTCCCAGCATGCCATTGTTCCTAACCACATGCCTGTGCATATGCTGTTCCCTTTGGCTAGAACACCCCAAGCATTCCTCAAGCACTGTATTCTTGGAAAAACCTGCCTTCACCATCCCTATTTTTTGTGGACTTTGGGGTACCCACACTATATCTTGTGTCCTGTTTCACACACTGAAATCTATCCTTTCTAGACTGTGAGCCACTTCCCCATGCCTGCTACATAGGAGGTCCAAAATAACTGTGCATGGGTGATGTAATAATCATAGGTGACCCCCACCATATTATCTTTTTTTCTCTTTTTTTAAGGTTTTGCCATAGGGTGTGTGCACTTGCCAGAGACAGAGATAGTGAGAGGTGGCCATATGGGATCCAGCCACCTTAACCTATGCTGCCTGCTGGCTCTCGACAATTCTTTTTAATACCAATCTTTTAAAAAATGCTTTTTAAAAGTTTGCCAGAGGGCATACATGCTTGCCAGTGAGGGACAGACAGAGACACAGGGAGTGGGGCATGGTCACACTGCAACCCCTTCTCTTCCATTTCTCTATCCTGTAGAGATTTGGGGCACATAAATGCTTAGCATGTTTTTCAAGCCACTGGGGCCGGGATTTCAACCATGTGGTGGGCCATGTGGAATCAGGGCCCCTTAACCACTAGGCCACAGATTGGCCTACAATCTTTTTAATTTTTATCAGTTTAATGGGTAAAGCAATTACCTGATTGTTCTAACGGACTTTCTCCTGATTGTTAGTGAGGTTGAGCCTCTTCTTATGGGTTTATTGCTCATTTTTTTTCCTCCTCAGTACTAAAATAATCCACTGCTCGTTTTTCTCCTAAATTGTCATTTTCTTGGTAATTTGTAGATCTTTATTCTAGATAATAAGCCTTTTTGCTAGTAAATGATTATAGCTATTTTCAACTTATCTGTTATTTGTTTTCTTAAATTGTTTCATTGTATAGGAGTCTTTAATTTTTTTTTTTTTTTTTTAAGTTTTAGCCATAAGATGTTTGTACTTGATGGAGAGACAGAGAGAGGGAAAGTGAGAAATCACTCCTCAGGGGGAATGACCACATCTCAATCTCTTCTCCATTCTCCTCCTGGGAGCCTGGGATTTTGGATACATACACACACACACACACACACACACACACATACACACACAGCATGATTTTCAAACTACCAGGTTCAGGATTTCTATTTCGACTGTGGTTGGCCATGTAGGAGTCCAGTGCTTTAACCACTGTGCCACCTGCTGGCTCCAGAAGTCTTCAATTTTATTTTAAAGAATTATTTTTATTTAACTTTATTTAATTCTTTATTTATTTTAATTTGACCAGAGAGAGAGAAAGTGAGAAAGCAAGCCTCCAGGTCCGGGATTCGAACCGTGGTTGGCCATGTGGGAGTCCAGCGCCCTTAACCACCACACCATCTGCCAGTCCCCAGAAGTCTTTAATTTTCATGTGGTTAGACTTACTGCTCTTATTCTTTATTAAGGCTTTTAGATTTTGTCTTTTTTTTTTTTTTTTTTTTGTGGGTTTTTGGTAGAGGTTTTTGTTATAGGGTGCATGCACTCACCAGAAAGACAGAGAAAGACAGAAAGACAGAAAGAGAGAAATCACCCCTGGGGGGGATAGCCACACCGCAATCCCTTTTCCTCCATTCTCCTCTCGGGATCTTGGGCATGCACGCACATGCACCCAGTATGAGTTTAAGCCACCAGGTCCGGGACTTGAACCATGGTCGACTACATGGGAGTCCAGACATAGCCATTATGCTAAGTGCTGGTCCCAGGTTTCGTGTCTTTTTCTTTTTTTTAAATTAATTAATTTATTTAATTCCATTTGTTATTATTTTTTAATTTGAACAGAGAAAGACAGAGAGAGTGAAAGGGAAAGTGAGGAAGCAAGCTGCCAGGTCTGGACCTAGAACCAAGTACAGAGAGAGAGAGAAGAAGTGAGAAAGCAAGCTGCCAGATCCAGGACTTGAACCATGGTCGGCCATGTGGGAGTGTCCATCACCTTAACCACCATGCCACCTGTTGGTCCCAGGTTTTATGTCTTTGAAAGAAAAGTCTTCTTCCCTTTAAAATTAGAAAATATTATTCTATATTTTTTATACTTTTTTGTTGTTATTCTATTTTGTTTTTGGTTTGTTTATATAGTCCTTTAAGACATCTGGACTGTATAGTATGAGATGACAGTCTAACTATATTTTTTTTCACATGGAAATTGTCCCAAGGCCATTTACCAAATAAGCCATCCTTTCCCTGCTAATTTTTTTAAGTTATTTTATTTATTTATTTATTTTAATCTGACCAGAGAGGGACAGAGTGAGAGAGATAGGGAAAGTAAGAAAGCAAGCCATCAGGTCCAGGACTCAAACCATGGTCAGCCATGTGGGAGTGCAACACCATTCACTACCATGCCACCCACCGACCCTACCCTGCTAATTTAAAATAGGATCTGAACCTCTTTTTTTTTTTTTTTTTTTCAGAGAGAGATTTTTGCTATGGCGCACATATGCTCGCCGGAGAGACAGAAAGTAAGAAATCGGCCTCCGTGAGGGATGGCCGCGCCACAATCCCTTCTCCTCCATTCTCCTCTCAGGATTTTGGGTACACACGTACACATGCCTAGTGTGAGTTTAAAGCCACCAGGTCCAGAACTTGAACAGATTTGTGTACCTAGTGGAAAACTTTCTTAAAAAGGATGAACTGGGGACCAGCAGTTAGTGTAATGGCTATGTCGCTGAAATCCCATGTGTGCAAAATTGACCTATATGGCAAGGTTCTGAGTTCTTATCCAGAGACCTGCCTTAATACCTAAGCATTTATGTGTCCATGGTCTGGGGCTGGCTGAAGCTTTGGGTGGATTGTGGCATTGAGACCCTGTTGGGGATGCTCTCTTTAGCTTTGTCATTCTCACTTGTGGAAGAAATCAATAAATTAAAAAAAAAAAAAAAACTCAAGAAAAAAAAAGGATGAACTCATTTACACAAACTGACATTGGCGATGTATTATCTACTCATTTCACTGCAACCTTGGAAGGATTGGCATGTCTATATTGATTGTATGCTAATTTAAGTTCATTTGTGTTCATATTGACATAGTTATTTTCATTTCTCAATAATATAAATGATGGTATGTGGGGTACGTTATAGAGAACAACCAATGCCCGAACACCTGGAGATGGATGGCTCCCTCTCACCTCTCATTTTCTTCCATCTCCTCTTTTGTGCCTCTTACAGGATCTTCTGCAGAACAGTTCGTTCTTATCACAGCCAAGGCGACCACAGATAGGACCCCAGGAACCTGCCTATATTTTAGTACTGTTCCAGGAATACTGCCTTCCAGCCAGCCGCCCATATCCTGCTTGGAGGAGGGAGCAGGAAATGTTACCCTGAGCCCCAAGATGGGTGAGGAGTGTGTCAGGGTCTGGAGCCACGAAGGTCTTGTACTTACCAAGCTGCTCACCTCGGTAAGAGCCTCAAGTCAGTTATCAGGTTGCATAGACTGCCACACTGAATTCTGTGTTGAAAGTTCTTGGATGCCCAGTTTACCTAGCAGTAAAAAGAGCACAGGCTGTATAACCCTGCCCTGGAGGCTGTGTGACCTAAAGCAACCATTGGGACCTCTCTGAGCCTGTTTCCTCATCTAAAAGACAGAAAACATAGCATCTTTTTAATTCCAACAAATAAGGATCAAATGAGAACAACTGTAAAATGCTCAGCACAGTGCCTAGTACATAATAGAGATTTGGTAAATGACAGCTCTTACTGTTTGCTATTGTTTTTAAATAGAATTAAACATGATCTCTACCTCAAAGAAATTCAGAATCTATAGTAAGAGGCAGAATGGACTAATTGCTGTCATTGAGTTGTAAGCAGAGCATTATACAAACAGAGTAAGGAACAATTAACCCCAACTTGAACATTTATGGAGAATGCTTCACAGAGAAGGTGGTATTTAAGAAAGAGATTTGTGTACAATAGTTTATAATGTACAAAGCACTTTCAGGTTCATTATCTCATTTGATCTTAAAACAGCCTTTTGAGGCAGGTGTTATTATCCCATTTTACAGATGAGGAAACAGGTAGTGAATTGCCGAGGGCCACACGATTAGTTCTGTAGCAGAGTCTAGATGCTGTCTGCCTGTCAAGATGATTCTTTTTGTTTTTAAACCGAATTTTATTTTTATTTTATTTTATTATTTTTTTAGAGAGAAACTTTTTTTTAAGAATTATTTTATTTAACTTTATTTATTTAATTATTTAAATTTGACCAGAGAGGGACAGAGCGAGTAAGAGAGAGAGAGGAAAGGTGAGAAAGCGCAACCCACCAGGTCCAGGACTCGAACTGTGATCAGCCATGTGGGAGTCCAGTGCCCCTAACCACCACGCCACTTGCTGGCCCTGTCAAGAGAATGAAGAAGGGGCCAGCAGGTGGCATGGTGGTTAGGGCTCTGGACTACTGGCTGTGATTCGAGTCAACCTAGTAACTTGCTTTCTCACTTTTCTTCTCTGTGGTCAAATTAAAATAATAATAATAATAATGATAATAAATAAAATTAAGTAGTTATTTTTTAAAAAGAAAAAAATGAAAAAGAAAATGAGGAAGATTTTGGCAGGGAGTGTAGTGGGGGGCGTTTAGGAAAGGGGAGATCCATTTCAAGCAAAACCCTGGCATGAGCACAGGCCTGGAGATTGAAGGGTTCAGCCTTTGAGAGGCTTAGGAATGCCCTAGGAGAAGAGGCAGGAGAGACTACAAGGGCCTGATCCTGAGGCCCTGCAAATGTCAGGCTAGGATACTATGACTTGACATTGAAGGCTGTGGGTGATACCACGGGGTTTTAAGGAGAAGAGAAACTCTGCTGGTACTGGGTGGAGACTGGTGGCCTGGAAGAGGGAGATTAATTAGGCTAATTCTTTCCCTCACATTTGAAAAGACCCTATAAGAAGCATAACCTGGGAGCTTAGAATCTGAGAAGACTTGGTTTCTGGACCTGATACTGCTTATACACCTTTAAAATGTGGATAATAGCAGACTTTATATCTCACGAAGTCATTATGTCCAGGCGGACGGCTGGGCAAGGAATCAGTTTGTACACCATTGAAACAATTGTCAACTTGTGTAAAAATCGTTTTCCCAGGAGTGGGTCCTAGATGTGGAGAGCTCTCATGAGGGCTTCTCTTTATAGCAGGGGGTGAGATGTCTTCCCATAGGAAGATTCTGTACTTCCCTCTGTCCATCATTCCCCTTTTCCTCCCTATACCCACCCCCAGGAAGAGCTGGCTCTGTGTGGCTCCAGACTGCTGGTCTTGAGCTCCTTCCTGCTTGTCTGTGGCCTTTGCTGTGTCACTGCTGTGTGCTTCCACCCACGTCGGGAGTCCCACTGGTCTAGGACCCGGCTCTGAGGGCACTGGCCTAGTTCCTGCCTTGTACTCAGGTGAGATTCTTTGCTCTGGTCCTGTAGAAACAGGGGATGGGATGGGGGTGGCCATTGTAACTGGGGTAGGGCAGGTCCTTGAAATCCACTCTCAAATACTGCTGCTTCTAAATCCCTAAGAAGCCTGTTCAACCACAGCCATCCCCATACGGACTGGGAACATCAGGATTCAATATTTTTCTTAGCATTTTTGCTTTTTTTACTATGAAATATCCAACACTTTGTGTAAAAAAATCCAAAAAACATAATAGTAAAATCAAATTATTATAAAGGGGATCTACCAGTAACTCGGCCGCCCTTGGTCCCTTCCTTCCTGACAATGTCCTTCCTCTCCCAGTAGCTACTATCCTACTTTATAATTTATCACCAAATGTGCAACCCTAAAGAGTAGAGTTTGCTTTTACCTTTTATTTCTTGAGTTTATTTCTTCCATGAGTGAAAGAGATGGCATCCCCAACAGGGTCCTGACATCAGCATCTAGTCCTAGTCTCAGCCAGCTCCAGATCATGAACACGTGTACTCAGGGAGGCCTCCGGAAACAAACACAGAACCGTCCCGTGTGGGTCAGCCTCACAGAGCATTGTGTTTTACTGCAGCACCACTGTGCAGCCCCCTTATTTTTCAACTTTATATAGATGGAATCATACTTAGTCTTTTGTTACTGACTTCTTTAAAAATTTATGCATAGCAGAGTGTCACATCCAAGTTTTTTAGCAACATGTTAAGTGGGTTCAAGTTTCATGATTCGTCCTGAACATGAATCATGTTTGTCTTGCCTTTGTCCTGAAATCCTGATAGCCAGTTTTATGATACAGATTTTATAAATTTCAACTTGAATAGCTCAAAAGAATCTAACTGATGATGCCCATTTACTGGGCACATACTGAGCACTTTACGTGCATTTTTCTCTCTTCCATTTGGTCATCATTGCATTTAGAAAAAGTTGATTCTGTTAACAAGAGCTTTCACAAAGGTAGCCGTGGTGGGAGACAGATTGGCTAACTCGTTCCTATGTCAGCTCTTTAAAGGAAAATATTTCTGCACAAAATCTTCACTCAGTTTGGGGGGGGGTTCCCTCACATCATTTGTGAGCCATCTGTGGAGCATCTAGCCTTTAAACTGTCAGCTTTGGCTGGTTGCTGGGCCCTAGGAAATTATTGTGGGAGAAGTGGAAACAGCTTAGGCCCAAACTGCTCCAGCCAGAGGAACTGGAAGCTCAAGGTTAACTTTGCCTATTTTGCTTATGGCTGAGCCTCAGGGCCCCAGCCTACTTGGACAGGAAATGAGGGGCCTTCTCAGCCTTGGATTAAAAAAGGAAGGCTTTCTGGCCCTTAGCAGACCTGGGTCCTGAACCCACTCCAACTGGAATTAGAGGCCAATACCTGTTTCTAGTTGCCATATCTTCTATTCGTTTCACTTCTGTGCCCATCCCAGAGATTCACAGAAGATCCCTCTGACCTGTCGTGTTTTTAAAATTTTCCTTCTCTCCAGGTGTGAATCAACTTCTTGGGCCTTGATTCTGAGTTGGAAGAGATGTTACAAAAGCAAAGAGCTGGCATGTGGGGAAATAAAGAGGTTTTTTTTTGCCCAGCGTTGCCTAAGGTGTTTATTGGGGTTTGAACCAAGGTGAGAATTTTAGGGTCAACAAGCTTAAGAGGCTCAAGGGACTTTCTTTGTTAACTCTAGTTTGGGATACAAGTTGACATAGGGCATAGGTTACTCAGCTCTTCCCACTATGGTGACTTGGTTTTGGAAAACACTAGGGTTTTGATCCCAGCTCTGGCACTTTGTCCTCTTTTTGTTTTTTTAATTGCTGGCGGGGCTGGGGTTGGGTGGGGGGGGGGCCCCAGTGCCCCTGAGAAGGAGAGGGAGAAAGCATCTCCTGATGGGGTTTGGTCACACCTAATTCCTTCTCCATTTCTCCATTCTGTCACCATTTGAGGAATACAGGGGTGCTTTTCAAGCCCTGAGAGTCAGGATTAGAATCTCTCAGTTGGCCAAATGGGAACTGGCTCTCTTAACACTAGGCACAAGATGGGCCATGTCCTGTTTTAATTGGTAATTCCAAGGAGCTGGAAAAATCAGGTTATGGAAATGCTTTTACATAAATGCACCATGTTCTTGGGCAATTATGCACTCAGTAGGGCCTGACTTACCTGCAGAGATTTGACCGATTCAGTTTTCCCAACATGAACTCGTTAAGTCTCCTCGCACTTGGGGGCCCAAGTCCAGGCTGGACAGTTAATATCGCAAAGCAGTCCATTTTCCCGCCTTTTCAGCGCTGAGCAGCAGCTTTCCCTTACCCCTCCCAAGCGCTACCCTGTGCGCAGGCGCAGATCACGCAGCTCGCGGCTTTCCTTCCACCAGCGCCCCCTCAAAGCTTCCCCTAGCAACAAGCTTGGGCTCAGAGCAAAGGTGGGGTGAACGCATGCGCCGCAACTCTCCCCACCGCCAGTCGTCGGACCGCGCTCTGAGCTCCTCCCACTGCAAGCCTAGCCCTTCTCCCCGCCTCCTCCCACCCAGGGTCCGCGTGGCTGGGCGCGCGCGCACTTGGGCTCGGAGGCTGCCTGCCTCCGGGGCCGCGGCAGTAAGGAAGGAGGGGCGGGGCTGTTTCCTTTAGAGCCCCGCCCCTTTTGGCCCGGCGTCCCTACAGCGCCTGCGCGCTCCCGCCCGGTCTCCATCTTGGAATTGGGAGGAAGAGGGAGAGGGAGACCGGGACGAGACCCGGGCTGTGGTGCGGAGAGAGGCTGAGACTGAGAAGCGGAAGGGAGAGAGGGCGCGGGGACCGTCAGCAGCGCCTTAGCTACAGTCTTTCAGCTATCTTTGGGGGAGAGAAGGGCCAAGGGAGGAGGCCGGGGCGGGAGTGGGGGCTGTCACGCTCGGACCCCGGCGTGAGAGGTGCCGTGCGGCCGGACGTCCTCCGGGTGGGCCCCCTGTCGGTGGCCAAAAACCTGGGGCTCCGGACCCTGGGTCCCAAATTTACGGGCTTTGCCCCTCGCTTCTCAAATACCCGGGCTATCAGCCCTCATATTCCAGATATCGGGGACTCGGGTCCCAACCTCCCTAAACCTGGGTCTCTGTTTCATAGAAATTCAGATATTTGGGCTTCAGGCCCCTGCGTGCACCAGTTCCCGGGGTTCATTCCCCAGGCTTTCGGGGTATCGGATTCAGTCTCCCCCAGTTCAAATATACGGGGTTCAGACCCCACAATCCAAAATCCGGGATTCAGCAACTGTCGCTCTCGAGGAGGGGGAGGACTGGACCGCGAGGTCAGATCAGGTTGTCACCCCCTCCCCTCCAGGGGAGGCTTCCCGGGCCCGCCCCTCAGGAAGGGCGAAAGCCGAGGAAGAGGTGGCAAGGGGAAAGGTCTCCTTGCCCCTCTCCCTGCTTGGCAGAACCGCTGGAGGACCCCAGGCGGAAGCGGAGGCGCTGGGGCACCATAGTGACCCCTACCAGGTGAGACACGGGGTACAGGGGCGCGGGTCCCTGTGTCTAGCAGAGAAGAAAGGGTGCTCCTTTCTGAGAAACTGGGCCTGAGTAGGCCCTCCTCTCCTCAGGATGGGGAAGCCCAGCTGGGCCAGCGGTCAGCCTTTAGCTGGCCCTACCTTCTTCTGTTGCCACCCTCTTCCCCTTCCTCTTCCCCTCATTGTGTCTGGTTGATGGGGACCTTAGGTGATAGGGTCTGTGATGTCACCGGGGGGGGGGGGGGTCACACCCTAGGGTGCTTGAGCTAATCAATGGGTTTGCACCCTTCTGGTCTTCTCCCTTGTTCACTTTGCCCCTCACAGCCACCTCTTGTCCATGACTATACTCCCTTTTCTTGACTGCTCTGTGGTGTGGATTCCCATGCCTCTGATTTCCATAGTGGGTCTGTCTGTCTGCTTTTCAGACCTGGTCTGGTTGAGTGTCTTGCCCTTGCAAGTGTGTGTGTGTGCATGTGTGCATGTGCGTGCTCATGCCTGCCTCACAGTATTTTCTCCCAGCTATAGTTACCTTTCAACCTCTTGTTGTGATGGTATAAATAATCTCATACATTTACCAACCGATTTGTCTTGCAAAGTGCTTTATATCCATTCTTTTGTATGACACCCCTCCATTCACCCTGTGGGAGCTCTTTTGTTGCTGTCTTCCCATTTTACAGTTGAGAACATTGAGGTCCAGAGAGGTTACCCAAGGTCACACAGTGGCAGACTCTGGATTTGAACCCAATTCCTCAATTAAGTCTTACCTCTGTTTTCATATCTTGTTTTTTTCTCTCTCTTTTCTTCTGAGCCTAGGCTTAACCAGGGGTCCATAGGAGAATGAGTTGGGGTGATGTTTAAAAATGGGGTGAAGTGAGCTTCCTTTATAACAGGGCTATACTCAAGCTTTTCCTGATGGGAGGTTCTGATTCCAGCCTCTGCCTCTGCCTCTGCCTCATGGATTTTTCTGTCTACTGTCATCTTTACCCTGATCCCAGTCTTTGGCCTTTCTCCCAGCTATAGTTACCTTTCAACCTCTTGTTGTGATGGTATAAATAATCTCATACATTTACCAACCGATTTGTCTTGCAAAGTGCTTTATATCCATTCTTTTGTATGACACCCCTCCATTCACCCTGTGGGAGCTCTTTTGTTGCTGTCTTCCCATTTTACAGTTGAGAACATTGAGGTCCAGAGAGGTTACCCAAGGTCACACAGTGGCAGACTCTGGATTTGAACCCAATTCCTCAATTAAGTCTTACCTCTGTTTTCATATCTTGTTTTTTTCTCTCTCTTTTCTTCTGAGCCTAGGCTTAACCAGGGGTCCATAGGAGAATGAGTTGGGGTGATGTTTAAAAATGGGGTGAAGTGAGCTTCCTTTATAACAGGGCTATACTCAAGCTTTTCCTGATGGGAGGTTCTGATTCCAGCCTCTGCCTCTGCCTCATGGATTTTTCTGTCTACTGTGACCTTCATCTTTACCCTGATCCCAGACTTTGGCCTGGGTTCCTGAGAGGAGACTCTCTTCTGCCAAGTGATAGCCATAGTGGCATCTCTGACAGTTAACAGCCAAGCTGTTGGGGTAGGATGATCCCCCAAAGGATTAAAGCCTTGTGGCGACCCTGGAAGCAGGGAAGGAAAAATCCATAAGCTGAGTGTGTGCATAGTGTTTCTAAGTATGAGAGAGATTTCATTAAAATCTCAGAGCAGCCCCACGCTGTAATCCATTTTAGTGAAGGGAAAACCAAGAAGTAAAGGAACTTATTCAAAGCCCTGTTGCTGTACAGATGGGATATACTGGTAGTGTAGCTTAGGGACAGATAGATTTGGGTTTCCTCATCTGTAAAACAGAGATAAAATTGTCCATTTTATTATAGAGGGTAGTTATGATTTAGCACAAATCTTGGTAATTGCTCAGATGTTTGTTACTATGAGGAAGAGGACCTGTGTAATGTTTTGCCACCTCTTACTTGTGCTCTGGGGTCTTAGGTTGGCATTTTTGACCCAGTGCTGGTAAAGAGGTCAGGAAGATTCCTTTGGCAAGTTGTGAGCACCTGTCTTTGTGTGTGGGTGTGTGGTGCGGGTGAGGGGTGCTTGGCACAGTTGCTGGCAGGAGAAGGGAGAAAGGGGCCTGCTTCCAGCAGCCTGGGAGCTGCTGAGGGCAATCAATCTCTCAGGCTATTCTGAGCCCTCTGCACCCTGGGGGCCCGCTGAGAGTGAGGCTTCCTCCTTGCCCTCCAGCTTCCAGTTGGACTGAAGAGACAAAATTAACAACACTACAGGAAACAATGCATGACAGAATATAATTACCTGCTAAAATTGTTGGGTGCTTTTAAGTAGCTAGAACTCTGCCCTGGGAGTCCAGGCTCTTTTGTGCCTAAATTCTGACAAGTGCTTATCCAGGAGGTTGTCCTGGCATCCCCTTGTGGGCCCTGCTTCTCATATCCTACAGGAACTTTCTTTGGGTGTTTGGCTGGATGCTTTGCAAGCTTTGCCCAAGGGCTAGAGTAGTCAGGGGAGGCTTCCTGCCAGAGCAGGGCTGTGCTGGGGATGACAGACTTAAGAGTAACAGCACACAGGTCTGACTGGAAAGGAGAAGGCCTGTTCTCTGACCTTGGAAAAATCCTTTTTCTTCTCTGTGCCTCAGTGACCTTTTCTGGGAAATGGTGATCATGGTCCTGCCTTATTTGTTTAAAAGGATTGTTCTGAAAGGCTGGTGGTAAAGGACTAGCTTTGGGCAAGTCAACCTTTCTGAGCCAGTAAGATAGGGGTAGTCATAATGCTTATCTCGTAACATCATAGGGAGGATTGAATGAAAGAAAAAGCATGTGCGGTGCTTACCATCCATGCTCAATAAATGTTACATGTACACTGCAAGTAATATCCTGAACCTGAGTGTGATACTTATGCAATTAGACTGGACAAGTAAGGCAGCCCAGGTCACAGAAAGGCCCTCGAAACCAGAGACCATTTATTTATATCCCTGGTTTTCCCAGTCTAGATCTCCTCCTTGCCCTGGTGTCCCTGGCCATCTTTGAGAGTGAGTCTTCTGGCCCCTTTGGCCAGTACCCACTTTTAACAATGGCCGGATTTCCACTACCTCCGGCCTGGCCATTTCCTGTTCTCTTCC